CGAATCAATATGTCCGACCATCCAGACGAGTTCTTCCTATATCATAAGATGACAGATCTTGCCAAATCACTAAAAAAATCCTCAAATGAAGCAGCAGGATGGGATATTTATGCAGCAGAAATGCATGAAATCCCCTCGCATTCACGAGCTGTGGTAGGAATGGGAGTCGCGATTGACCCTCCCAAACATACCTATACACGAATAGCTCCACGCAGCGGACTGGCTGCATGAGGAATTGACGTGGGCGCAGGAGTCATCGATCCGGATTACACTGGGGAACTCAAGGTCGTACTAATCAACACAATGGATTTCGTATTTTCGGTCAAGCCAGGAGATAGAATAGCCCAAATAATCTTCAAGTATTATGCAGAAGGGCTTCCCTCCCGAAGCTACCAACCGTTGCGAGCAACTAGAAGGGGTAATAAAGGTTTTGGCTCCTCGGGACAATGAGCCTTAAGAGGGGGGTAGTGTCACAGATTTTTGCCACAAAGTCCGCACGTGACTTTTCTCACACCACAGATCACGTGCTTCACCAATATCTCACGCCACTCAGCCACAGACGCGACGCGTAGAGATCAGGTGATAGTCCACATCACATGTTATGGTCCAGACCCGTGGATGATACGGTCGGACCTGTCTATTCCAGGATACAATAGAGGCACCCATTTGGGAACAAAGGGAACAAGGACTATTGTTATGCATCGGCCTTCCGCTTCTTATTAGTTTAGCCAGAAGCCTAGATAGGTACGATGTTCACACCGGAGAACAAAAGGGAAACCAGGATAGGCACGATGTGCACACGCATTACTGCGGCAACCATCGATCTTCCCACTTATTGTTCTACTTCCAGACATCCTATTGTTTCATGTACGGCCATTTGCTTATACCCGTAGATAGGTAGCTTAGGTAAGATAGCCCGCTGTACGTGTATATAAGACCAGCCATGTAGGGGACGAAACCTCAGATTGTTTCTCCTCGTCTACTACCTGTAGCACTCACTGAGCTCACCAGCTCCTTCATATATCTCTCACCCCTTCCTGCATCTGCCACATCAACCAGTAAGTCAACAGGCTCTTGCGCCACATAGGGTTCAGGGGGATACCTTTGGGATCAGGGGGATCAGGGCGGCACGTTTCACGTGACTGTCCCTTTTTGTCTTTTTGATCTCTTGTCCGGTGTTACCGTGATAACGTCCATCATAATACGTCAGCAATGTACACATATCTGACAATGGTCGACCTTCGCTTTATTGCACCAAATATGAAATTAGCAACGACAGTGAAGAGCATGAAAATGCACCATATAGCAGCAATGCATGTGTTTGATCAAACTCATGAACTGCGACTCGGTGGATTCTATGCGCCAATCCTCACTGGCCCCACACCCCACGGCCTTGTTTTGCCAGCTTTACCTCTTCTGGCCATACTTCCAGCACCAATTCCTGTGGGAGCATTCGTTCGGCCTGTTGATACAGCTCCATCCCCAGCTGCCAACAATCCTGGCAATTTTTCATGTGAAGCAGTCGCTTATGCTCACTGGTGCGTCATGACACCATACATCACTGTCTCCTTTTTAAACTTCCCACAGAAGCCAACCACCATGCTCACAACTCATGTTACTTGAATGATGATGTATCCAGCATAGATACATTGCGAGTTGATGGCAATCATATGTGCGAGCCAATACATACTGCAATTTGCAGCAATTGTTTTTCATCGACGGTATTAATCTGTCAATATCAAACGTAAAACCAGGTGAACTTCCGCCGAAATCTAGGGAGACACATGCCCATCGACGCTTACTCACGATGTAAAATCACAGCATGTTAAGAGCCACCTCTCTTTGGTCCGGATCCGGATTTACAATGCATTGCGGATACGAGGGTAAGAGCTAGGTCACAAGTACATCTATAGAACCAATGACAGTTCAACTGTGAATGATTGATCTTCCCTGTGAGCATACTGCGGGCATCAAAAAAAAAAAAAGCAACACAAGTGAATTTTCATGTGTGCGAAGTCCATCATATCTCAAGCGCCAACAAGCTCTCTGAACTCGGTTCCCCACTCGCCCTTCTTCATCGACTCCACAAATGCATCGAACCTCAGACTCGCGCCCGGCTGATTGATCCTGCTCAGCGCCGCCACGGCCCTGAGCGTGCTGCGCTGCAGCTCCGCCGCACGCTCGATGTCCTGCTTGACGGTGTCCTTTGTCACCGTCGCACCTTTCATGCTCTTCTCCAGCAACGGCGTAATCTCGTCCAGACGCTGCGCGACGGCGGTGGGCGCGACCTGCGACAGACGGAAGAGCATCATGTGGCAGATCACCTTCACCTCGTCTGAGTCGTCTGCAAGTCCGGCAAGCACGCGTCCAATGAATTCGTGCAGATCGAGTTTTGCCAAGCAGGTGTCAAGCTGCAACATGAATGAGCACAATCCCTGCGTAGGATGCAAGCAATACTGACCAAAGTGTACAACGTCTCATACGCAGTCTTACGCGCCTCGAGACCATCATCAACCTTGTGCGTCCATGGACCCATCTGAACGGTACGAATGAGATCAGGATTGACCACCGTCTCTTTGTAGAGATTTGGCAAGATAATCTGCAGCTGATCGCGAATCAAGTGAGGCTTGAGACGAGCGGCCTGGTTAAGCGTCGACAATGCTAGACGACGGACGGTCTGCGAAACCCACAATGTGTCAGTGACTGTACAGCTAGTCTCTGCAATCGCTCGCTTTACCAAGTCGGGATCAGCTATAAGCGCGAGAAAGTCCATCAGGACTCCGTTCAACTGCTCGTCATACGAGCTCGATGATTCCGCGAACGTGTAGCGTATTGCGGAAATGACAGTCGCTCGTGCAGCCAGATTCTCGTCACTAATGCGTTCCTGATTATATCATTAATATTAGTGCCCGATCCGATCAAGACACGGATGATTCGACGCACATGCAACTGAGGAAGGTACAAGGATGGGTGTGTGATCGTGAGCTTGCCCAGACATGCTGCCGCGACGTTGCGGGTGGTCTCTTCTGCGTTGTCGGAGTTCTCAAATAACGGAACCCATAGCATATCGGCCACTGTTTCAAGTTGCCCATGTGAGCAGTGTGTAACGACCTGTGAGGAACAAAATGAGTGCCGCCCGCGAAGTAGAGACAACATACGGACCTCCTTCAACGCATGTAGCGAAAGGAGTCGCTTCTCAGAATCGTGCTGAACCATCTTAACGATGACCGGAAGGAAGTGGTGCAGATTACCGACCGCAATGTTACCTGAACATCATCAGCACCGTTTCGCAGTGTCGTTGAAAAAGCACCTACCAGCCGCGAATGCAGCCGCAGTACGAACCTCCTCCTGGTCCGCGGAGAAGCGCTCGATGACCTGAGAAAAGATATTCTCTTGCAATGACATGTCACTGGTCGGGATTCAAGGTCAAGAAGCCGTGCAGCAAATGGTCATGAGCAACGTACACGAAACGTCCAATCTCCCCCATTACGAGCAGGCTCAGTACGACTTGCGAAGGCTTCGCTTTCGCAGATGCCTATAGTATCGATCTCAACTTCCACCCATTCATGGACAACAATGTATAACGCGCCTTGAGATGCTTCGAAAACTCTACAATGGTACCGGCAGCAACAGCCCGCTGACTCCTGACGACCTGCCCGATGCACCTAGCCACATTCGACTGCGATGCATCCGACTTCGACTCTTTCTCGATCGATGTCACTAGATTAGGCACGACATGCGTCGCGACCTGCATATCAGCCTCGACGAGCGCGGCGAAGAACGCAAGGATAGAGTCGAACGCGGCGCCCGCTACAAGCGGCGAGTGAGCGATGTCGTACATATCCTTGAGCAGCTCCGCCTCGACTTCAGGGAATGTGATCTTGGGCGACAGCTCGAGCAACAGCGCGACGATCGAAAGCGCCTGTGACATGAGCTGGATGTCTGACGTCGTGATATAGCTCTTGAGTGAAGGGAGGAGGCTTGGAGGAAGATCGGCGGGCACGCCGGCTTGATATCTGTTGCTGAGTGAGCGTTATGGTTAACGGCACTTAACACCGGTAATGACATACCTTCTCAAAAGAGCATCCAAGCACACAAACATGTCGGCCTTACCCGAGCGTCCACTTTTCCTCAGCAGACCGAGCAGCCACCGCAAGCACCCATTCACCCAATCATCGTCAATATCCACTTCCCTAGCCACACGCGTCACAACCTGTACAGCGCCGTCCGTCCGGCCCGTCGTTCTGCACATTGCCTCCCATTCTCTCCTACTCTTCGTCTTCATGACGTCCGTCGCGCACACCCACAGATCGCCGATACAAACCTCCGCAGAGGCCCTCACCTCAGCATCCGTGTCGTGGTTACTGAGCCGCTGCACTGCTTCGTTGTAGACCGTGTCCACCCAGGTTGCGCCTTTAACGGGCTGCATCGCATTCAACAGCGCAGAAAATACCCGGAACGCCTCAGAGGCAATCCGCGGGTGCTTCTCACCCAGTGATTTCAGTAATATCGGCAGGATGCCATCCAGCGAGTCCACATATACTGACGGGGAATGAGTAGAGAAAAAGAGCGCGACGAATGACATGCAAGTGATGTGCAGAGCAGACGCGCTCGTCTTGTGAGACTGCGTCAGCACGGTTTTGCTTGTCGCAATGATTTGCGGAGCAAAATTAGCCAGACAGCCTGGAAGGACAGTCAGCAGCGTGTGTAGCAAGGAGAAGCCCGCCTGCTGAGTGATCGCCGACATCTTCTGCGACTTCAGCTGGTTGATCAATGCCTTCGCCAATGTCGGAACCTGTGCTTTCAGAAGATTCTTAGGAGTCCCCTCAACCTCGACCTCCTCGTCGCGTTTGCGCTTCCCGCCGACCATCTCTTTCGTCTGCACGACCTCGCCGTATACACCTGTCTGCTTGAGCAAAGATGCATATGTGGTCCAAACCTCCACCCGGACAGTCTCTTCGCGGTCTCCGAAGCGGAATATAAGTATCGGGGATACCTCCTTGTATAAGGTCGCAAGTAACTCTGGACGCGTGCCAATGACCGCGGCAAGGAGCTTCGTGGCAGATCGCCTGATCTTGTAGGACGTGTCCTCATCGTCAGAATATCTGCACAAGGCGAAGTTAGGAAGTATGTGATATTACTGGATGTCGTTACGCACTCTTCATCGAGTTCTGCATCGTCATCATCGTCGTCGTTCGCCATCTCCTCGTCCTCATCCTCAACGTCACCAGCATAGTTCTGGGATGTGTCAAATGGCGCACATAAACTAATATAGATATACTTACAGGATCATACTTGATGAAATGATTGCCTACTTGAATGATTTGTGGCAGGAACGGTGTGACCTCAGTAGGACACCGCAGGACAAGCGCTTCAAGTGCCTAGAACAGGAACATGAAGGCTAAGACATTGACGTTCACTCATCTGCATACCTGCAAACAACTCTCCTGCAACTCCTCATCATCGCGTTCCACGGCCTTGATAATCCCTGGAATGATCTCACCCAAAACCGGTCCGATTTGGTGCGGTGTGTGGCGCGCGACTGCCGCCACAAGCTGCACCGTCGTCCGCTGGTCTTCAAGACTCGCTTTCGGTGTCAGTCCAGGCAGGATATTTGCGTTCAGCAGCTCAGTAAACTGCTCGGCCTGAGTGGTTGGGAGAAATTGTGCAAGCGTCGTGATTGCACGTTTGCGCACTGCAGGGCGCGGATGAGATAGCATTGGTGTGAGAACAGATAATGGCTGCGGCTTGAGGTCAGGGCTTGCGAGGTATGCAGGGAAACGGGTGATAAGGATAGAGAGGATCGAAAGCGTCTCCAGGAGGGTATCGGGTGGCGTGTCTGACTGTAGAAGATGATGATCAAGCGATTCAAGCCAGAGCAGGCAGAACTTACACTGGCGAGTTGCGTCAAGAGCTTGGGTGCGAGCTTCTCGCATGCCTTCGCGGCTATCTTGCCTTCAGGTGGCAGTTCCGATGTTATAGTCTTCAAGGCTGAGAAGCATGTCAACGTTGAGATATCAATTGGAGGCAGGTAAACGCACCTAAGCTTGAGATATCTCTGAGCTCATCGTCCTTTCCTGAGGAGAAGTCAATGAGCCTATCGACTACAAACTCCATCTGTGACTCTCGAATGATTTTGATGAGCTGCCCGAGACTACGCGTCCATCAGTTGTGACAGCATGCCGTAGATTCATGATGTGCATACCACTTGACAGCCTGATTTTTGACCTCAGATATCTTATCCTCGACAAGCTGGAGGACCTGCCGCAGGACTTTCGTCTCAGTTGGCTCATCACCCAGGAACGTGGTTGGATCCTCTTTGATAGCAACCAGTAGGTCATTGAGACCCATGTACCTAAATTGACGTCTTCAAAATGGCCGGAAAAGTGGTCGGTCGAGTCGTCCACTTACCGAAAGTCCTGATCAGAGGACTGCATCTGCGCGAAGGTCAGTATTGATTGTCTGCGATCGCAGTGTTGAACCGTACCTTCTCAACGAGACCGTTCATAATGTATGTTTTCGTCATGTTGGGCGTATGATGGAAAGCGGGGAAACAAGGAGGAGATGGAATATTATGAACGAGGTCCGAGGCTTGAGCGTCTCAGCGCAACTCGACCTTGCCTCTCAGTCAAGTGACGTCTCTGCTCCCATCGCGTGATCGCGTTTCGCTTTCGACGCGTCATTTGCCACGAACGCACCGTCACAACCTTACTGAAGCTCAGGATGGATAAATACTCTTGCTGCTCTCTGAAAATCGCTTTTATTTACCGGCAGTTCCGTTTTGATATAATATATAATTTCAATGCCGATTAAATATATGGCCGGCTAGCTCAGTTGGTTAGAGCGTGGTGCTAATAACGCCAAGGTCGTCGGTTCGACCCCGGCGTTGGCCAGTCTTTTTTGTTGATGCCGAATCAACTTGATTATGTCGTTGATCAATTGTCTGTATGTACGTGTACTTTGCCATGGTGTTCTTTTTTCCAAACTTATTGGCATTATCGACAAGCGAGCTACACGTCTTCTTATGGGTGCTAATTAAAGAGGACTTCCATGCCTGCTTACGTAAGCACGCGAGCAAGATTTCTGCCTCGAGCTGGCCACAACGGCGCAAACATGCTCGCTGTCCGTAGATTACCGCGGATACGCGCTAGGCTTTCTGGCATTCGCAGCTATGCTTCTCTCGAGGCTGTCTCAACCCCCTCTGACTCGGTGAATCTCCCTCCGCCCTCACCTCCTCAGGCGGATGCACCTGAGCCGCAGGCACAGAAAGCAGCGGAAACTGGCGCACGGACCGCAGAGCAAGAAACATCCCAGGGAAACGGAGAACAGACTCAACGACAATGGCCGACGCGTAGGCCGCGCATTTCGCTCGCAAATCCTCGTGACTGGAATAGGCCGATCGCGAAGGGGGTCCTCCCTGCTTATGACTTCGCGTCCGAGTATATTCGTGAGGACTCGAAGGCGTTGAAGAAGGAATTGGCCGAGCTCAGGAAGGACTTAGCTGCCGCGGAGAGTTTGCCCGAAAGTGATAGGGATGTGCAGGTCATCGAGGCACTCAAAGAGAAGGAGAAGATTTTGAAGATTCAAAGCGAAGTGAACCTACCCGAAGTGCGATGGAGGGCGTTCAATGGGCTAGGTGCGTGTCATCCACAATGGATAGGATATTTGATTATTGATGAATCCTTTTGCAGGTAACATGAAGAAGGCCGTTTATAGGCATCTCTTGGAACAGAGGTGGAGGGAAGATGGTCCGCTCGATTTGCTAGTATGTACCGGATATATTCTAGGGCATCAACTCAATCATCAACCTTTCCTTCATGTAGATGGAGCGCATTCATCAAATGAGCGTCGTTCCGGACCTTCTGCCGTCGCTGCACCCAACGCTCGACCTCCGTGTGAACTTCCCGGAGCCGCCACCGAAGAGGGTTGACCTCCGCCGTCGCGTGAAGCACAAATACAAGAAGGTCGAACCTGGTATTTTTCTTCTGCCTCAGCAGGTATACTGTTCATCTCACTCGTCCGGCTTACCGTCCTCATGCAACCTATGAATGTTAGACGTTAGAGCCGCCGATGTTATACACGTCCGTTTTCCACGTCGAGCGGAGGCTCTACACCATGCTTATGGTGGATCTGGGTATCTATAAAGTTTGTAGGTTCTATGTGCGTGGCTAAATGTCTCTGTAGACATCCCGGACGAGGAGAATCAGACTTTTACGACCTTCCTTCACTGGATGCAGTAAGTTCCTGCCCCGCTCTTCCCAATGCATACATGTTGAGTATTCCCTCAGACCTAATATCTCCCTCTCCGCGACCTCCCCCTCGCCCATCCCGCTCTCGAGTACGCACACGCCGTATATCCCACCGCACCCACAGCGCGGGACGCGCTACCACCGGTACGTTATCCTCATCCTGCCGCAGGCGGACCCGACGACGCCCATCGACGTACCCGTTGCAAATGACGCCGAGCGCATGGGCTTCGACTTCCGCGCATTTGCGGAAACATTCGAGCTCGACGGCGCGACGGGCGGCGGTGCTCACATGTGGCGAGAGGTCTGGGACGAGACTGTCTCCAAGATCTACCAGGATGTTCTTAGTGAGTGGTCGAAGGCATAGTCTGCTATACACCGTTGCTGAAGATGATGGCGGTTTGCTGCACAGAAACGGAGGAGCCGAGATATGGGCAGCCCCCGAAGCCAGATCGGTATGCTCATCTCAAGGAAGAGAAGCGCTACTCCTAAGTGGTTGTCGTTACCGGCGTGGCTTAAGAAGGTGTCATGTATACTGTGTACATTCAAGTCAGTCACCGACAATTGCGTGGGTTCAATGTTTAATTCTTTGCAAGCGGCCGACCCGAGCGCACGGTACGCCGACAGTCGGATGATGCACGTCGGATTGAGGGAACCGAGTGAAAACCGCATAAGTTACTGAGGAATGCCACCGAAAACAACATCTATCAGAAAAACAAAGTAAAAATACAGCAATGTGATGTTGTGCGCGAGCGGTGTCATCGTTGTGAGATATAATGCAGAGAAAGAAGCACGGAAAGTAGCAAATCAAATGTCCTCGAACTCGGAGCCATTATCGTCAGCCTTTTCATCCTCAGACGACGAAGGAATTTCAATGTATTTCTTCGTCTTGGCCCTTGCCGCGCGTTTTGGCGCCTCGCTGCGCGCAGGCACAGGGATCGCGTCGAAGTCGTCAGCATCGTCATCATCACTGTCGATGATCTTCCTCGCCGCCTTCTTCGTAACAGCAGGCTTACTAGAGGATGGTTTCCTCGCAGCCGCCTTCTTGAGTGGGGCAAAGTCATTGTCCGTCGTGCCATCCTCGTCCTTGATCACCTTTGACGCAACTTTCTTGGCTGGTGCAACCCGGCTTTTTGCCGCCTGGCTACTCGAAGAAGGTTTTCGCGCCGCAGGGGGTACCTTGTCGAAGAAGTCTGTGATGGGCTTCCTCTTCTTCGTAGGCACTCCAGAGTCAGAGTCCCACTCAACGTCGGGGCTGCGCTCATCACGTGAGTTATACAGATGAGGGCTGCAGTGAGGAGATGCTTGCCTCTTCCGCTTCACGGAAGGAGCTGCCTTCGCTTTGTCCTTGTCACTGTTCCTTGAGGGCGGCACGAGGATATCCATATCAGAATCTGACTCCTTCTCCTCGACAGCCTTTCTTTGGGGAGCGGGAGCAGCCTTGGAGTCTATCGTTTCGAAGTCCGAGTCAGACTCGTACTTCGGAAGCTTCGCGAGCCTCCTGGCTGGCTTGACCCGAACAACATCGTCTTCGATGTCGACTTTCGAGTTGGATGGTGCGGCCTGCGGAGGCTTCTTTGCTGGGGCAGTCTTAACCTTCGGTTTCGCGGCAGCTTTGGCGGGCTTGAAGTCATCATCAGAGTCTTCGTCATTACCTTTCTTCATGAAAGATTTCAAGGTCGCCTGCTTGCGCTTGCCTTTCTTGCCATTGCTTCCAGCGGATATGATCTTGTCCTCCCACTGTTCGCATGTGATCTATAGACTACCATCGTTATATGACGATCAACGAAACATGACCAAAGGACTTGCCCTCCATTCCTCGAGGAACTTATCGAGGTCCATCTGCCAGATTTGGATGGGAGTGAGCGCGAGAAGCGTTAGAAGCTCGGTCTCCTTTCTCCTGCTCTCCTGAAGCAACCTATCGATCTGTATGAACCAACTCGTCAACAATCTGTCATTTTATGTAATAATTGTACTTGCCTTTTCCCTGGTGAGACTCCAGATGGCCATGCCTAGCAGGTAGTCGTAGTCTTTGTCGTTTGCAGTCGGTGCTGACGAGGAGGCAGCGCCCTCCTCATCCTCATCCTCTTGTTCCACAACCTCGGTGGTTTCACCTGCTTTCTTGGCATCTGAGACCTTCGGAATGGGCAGGAACTCTTTCTGGCGCAGCTCGGCCACAATGTCAGCTTTCTTGCGATTAGCCACCACCAGCCTCTTCTCCACGATCATCTGCACGAAGCGAGCTTGGTTGTTCAGTCTGTCCAGTTCGGATTGCAGCTGCTTCGCCATGTAATCCTGGCGCGACAACAGCGTCAGCATAAGAACGACGAGTCAATGAAAAATACGACGACCTTTCGCATCTGGTAGTACGCGAGACGCTTGGGGTAGAAGTCTTCAATGATCTCTTCTGGCGAGTCGTACTTTTTGATCTTGCCTTCGTAGTCGAACAGAATCATGTTGCTAGTGCTGATCTTGGTGATGAGCTTGAAGAACTCAAGAAGACCCTGCTGCTCCGCTTTCTGCATGTTTTTGTCGTCCATGGTGATCACGAAGTGGACATTCATGTTGTTGTGGTACTCCTTGTAATCCTGAAAGGACGTCACAAGTGCACGACGACAGATACGCATCGGCTTCACGCACCTTGATCACACCATCACCTTTCTCACCACACATCGCCTCAAGCTCGACCTTGTAGGTCTGAGTCCACTTGTGGATAGGAAGTTCCGTGATTTCGACAGTCGTGTCGTCCTTCTTGTTCACAGTACCCATGACATCGTACTTGTGATCGCCGACCTTCTTGATAGTGCCCTTGAATCCACGCCACCAAGGAAGCATGGGAACCTGCTCTTCACCAGCCATGAGGCGCCTGATGTTTGCCACAACATCTTCAGGATTGTAGCTAGGAACAGACGTGCTCCATCCTAGGTAGCAAGACGGCTATGAAGTTCTGCCATAAAGGAAGAGATACAAGCTAACTTACCAGTACCGATACCCTCAGATCCATTAATCAGAACCATGGGGACCACAGGCATATAGTACTCCGGCTCGATTACCTTGCCGTCCTCCATCTGCGATGTCATCAGCGGGTCATCGGCGGGGTGGAATATCGTCCGAGTAATTGGTGCCAATTCGGTATAGATATACCTCGCAGCTGCATGGTCTTTACCACCCTGGTCGCGAGTACCGAATTGTCCATTCGGCATCAGGAGATTCATGTTGTTCCCTCCCACGTAGTCCTGAGCAAGGTTAACAATGGTCATCATCAGACTTTGCTCTCCGTGATGGTATTGCGCGTGTTCAGAGACGTAACCAACGAGTTGCGCAACCTGTTTGAAGGGTGAATGCCTATCCTCGGCAACACGAAAGACCATTATTTACTTTGATTTCACCTTTCAAGTTGCGCTTGAAGCAGGCCCACATAACTTTTCTTTGGCCCGGCTTCAATCCATCCGCAATGGATGGAATAGATCGAATATTATCGGCCATGGAAAACAGAATAAGCTCGCGATTGATAAAGTCCGCGAAACCGATCTTCTCTTGTGTATGATCCAGGTAGGTTCCAGGCTGTACAACGGCGGTATGAATGGCACGGTGTTATCGCGAATATGTTGTGTTTACCTTGAACTGACGTAGCCACTCCTTTCGATCGTCCGCTTTTTTCTTGCTGAACGCCAACTCGATGAGGTCTCGATCGCCTTCCTTGGTCGTGTCGAAGGGTATAACGTGCTTGTCCATCCTTTTGAAGTAATTGCGGCCGTCCTCATCCGTGCTCGTACCCAAACCCTATCGACCAGCTAAGCAGAGATTCGTCGGATGACTGCGCTGTGGTAGCCTACCTTGAAGTATTTCGCCTTCCACTTCTCAGAGCCAGGAGTCTCTTCGAGCCACTGCTCATACTCCGGCATCGTGAAAAAATCAATCTTTTGACTGCCTTTGCTGACCTGTTGCGTCCGTCAGTGGAAAGAAATCGTAATACAAAACAAACAATTCCTCACTCTGACAATCGGCGTGACGAACTCAGCCAAGAAATTTGGGATCTTCAACAGTGATGGGTAGAAGTAGTCAAAGTAGTTGATGAGCAGACCCTTGATGTGCGAGCCATCATGATCCTACATTTACACTGCCCAGTCGATAATTGCAAACATCATCGGGCGATGTCACTAACCTGATCCGTCATGATCATCAGTCGACCGTAACGCAAGCCGCTGAGGTCCCGGTAGTCTTTGCTGTGCTGAAGACCAAGGATTTTCTTGATGTTCTGAATCTCCTCGTTCTTCATGATTTGGTCGTGTTTGGCATCCCGTACGTTGAGTACCTTTCCGCGCAGTGGAAAGACACCGTAGTCATCACGGCCGACCACGCTCAAACCTGCGACAGCCAACGACTTTGCGGAGTCTCCTTCCGTTAAAATGAGCGTGCACTCAGATGCCTTCTTCGTTCCTGCGTTATTAGCATCTGACAACTTCGGCAGTCCTGTGAGCCTATAGAGAATAGCAGTCATTGGCATAAATCTAGGATGTTTTAGAAGCAAACACTCACCTGGTCCGCCGGGCACCGTCCGTCTTCTTGAGCTGCTGATCGGCTTTGAACTTCGCCCAGTTTAAAACGTGGTCAACGATGGGAGACTTTTGCACTACAGATCGACAGTTGGTCAGTTCGACACTCGTCGTGTCATTCGTCGCCTCGCGTACCTTTCTTCATGAACTCATCAGACAACTTAGGCTTCGTGCCAAACTTGCTCGATGGCAGTGTTAACGTTTCCTTCGTCTGACTATCGAACGTCGGATTTTCAATAAGAGCATTGACAAAGATCCACATGTGGTTCTTGATCTGAGCAGGCTTGACCGCCGCACCCTTGTTCTTCTTGGCGATCGAAGCGATGAGATTCTTCGCAATCTGGTCAGAGATGAGGGTGACATGCGTGCCCCCTTTCGATGTCGAGATCGAGTTCGCAAAGGAGACTTGCTGGAACGTGCCATCTGAGACGGTAAAGGCCACCTCCCATCGCGGACCGACCTGCTCATAAATAATGGTGGGCTTCGCCTGTGCAGCGCCTCCAGATGCATCCGAGGCCTGCTCTGCAGCCGAATTGACATAGAGCTCGACGTATTGCTTGAAGGTCTTGATCTTGAGCAGCTTGTCGTTCAGGTATACCTTCACGTCCTTCACGGTCCCAGCAATGTCATGCACACGCTTCTTGAGCAGGGCAACGGTATCGTCGTCGATGCAGTCCATGCCAAAACGTTTAAGATCTGGCTTGAACGTCACACGGGTGTATTCCTCTCCGCGGGAGTTTTTTGTGATCTTCGCCTTGCCGACCTTGCTCATATTGTCCGTCCATGTCTGCACATACTTCTGGTGCGTGTTCTTGTCCGCAGTGTCGATGGTGAACTCGGTCGAGTAGATGTTTGCCAGCTTGGCACCATATCCGTTGCGACCTCCCGTGAGCTTCTTCTCGTCATCGTCATAATTTGAGGACGACAATAAGTGCCCGAAGATAAGTTCTGGGATGTAGATCTTCTCCTTGGAATGTATCTCAATAGGGATACCGCGTCCACTGTTGAGCACGGAGATAATATTATTCTCCACGTCAATGTTGACCTTGATGGTATCCATACTCGGATCGTTGATCTAAGATGGCTGTCAACGTCTGCGATGAGTGGCCAGCCGATAGAAAGCACCTTATTGTCAGCAGCATTCACGAGAATCTCGTCCACAATCTTGAAGAAACCAGGTACATATCTGATCTCCCTTTGCACCATGAGTTTCTTATCAGAGTCCCAAACCCACATCGGCTGTGTGATTGTCTCTACGCTGCCGATGTAGGAGTCTGGCCGTTTCAGGATATGTTCGAGTTGGGAGAGCTAAGGCACTGTATCAGTATCACCTTAAAATGTGTGCTTCAAGAAGAGAAACCTTGGTATATGTCTCTGATGCGGATTTCTTCTTCGCAGCCGTGACCGCGGCGGGCGCGCTGTGCCCAGCTTCGTCCCCCGAATCCGAATCCATATCCACGTCGGAGTCGGCGTTATCATCCTTGTCAACGAGAACCTTCTTCTTGATAGCCTTGACCTTCACGGGTGCTTTTGCAGCTTTTGGCGCGGCCGTCCGTTTAGGAGCCGCCTTCGTGGCTTTCTTCGCTGCAGGCGCGTAGTCCTCAGACTCGGAGCCCGACGAGATGTCGTCGAAGTCGAAGTTCTCCTCGGAGGAGCTCATGGTTGTCGATAAGCGGCGGCAGAACTGAGGGGGGATACCGTAGCAGGGAGGCAGGCAGCGTGTATGTTGAGTGTTCAACAGACGCGGGCGCGCGTGCCAACGCGTGAGCTGAAACGCGTCGACCACGTGACGATGATTGAACGCGACTCGACGCGATGTGAGCCAAGAAAGCCTCAGCGGGCTGCCGAGTCCATTCATCCTCACGAGAATGAGAAAAGATAGGACAAACTTGTACCCGAGCATGTTTAAGGGACTTGCATCCGAATAGTGGTACCCTAAAATGTATTCACGATGAAATTTTCGCATGGAACTCAGCCAATCAGAAAGGAACTCGATTAAGTGACATTTCGACCGCAATATGATATCTACGCATATTTCTGCCCACTCTATCACAAATATGCCAGACTGTGATGCACCACAGGTGACTGCTGTACGTGAGAGAAACACGGCAGGCTGCAGCTTACTCTCACTGCTGGACAGTGACCAAAGAAAATCTGATAAGGCAACTCGACGCGGGCTCTAATTTAAAAGGTCCACCTCCATAAACTTTGCCGGGAGGGTACATAGATCGCTTCTGGGGAATGTGTGCCAGCACTGGCAATTGAGCTTGCCGACCAAATTCCATATTGCGACAATGTAAGCATACAGACAACGCAATAGTACAGAACTTGTCAATGTCGTATTCTATGGTTTTGCTTTGATGCTGTTCACAATGAGGCTCTGAGCACATTTCATCAGCATGACATCCTCCGCGTTCATGAGAGGACGTATACCTTGTACGCCTGCACGTCTCCCTTGAACTTCGTGACGGAGCCATCCGCGCATACCCACAACTACCAATCCGTCATGAGTGCAACATTCGACAGAAATGACATCTGCGTGACCTACCTCCTTGGCCACGGTGGTGATGAATCTCTCGTCGTGAGATATCACAATGACTCCGCCATTCCACGCACTGAGTGCTGCCATGAGCGCGTCCAAACCCTGTCATGAAGATTGTATCGACGTGATGAATCGCTCCAGAGAGCAACAAGACTGACCTCAATATCCAGGTGGTTAGTAGGCTACGAACATCATTGGCGTTAGCACGGAATGATGAGCCGAAACCGATCCACTTGCCTCGTCAAGGAGCAGGACGTGCGGCCTCTGCAGCGAGAGCAACGCGAAAGCCACTCGAGATTTCTGACCTCCACTCAGCGTGCCGATCAGCTGCAACCTGGACACCACGGTTGAGCAAACAAACAATATCAAACGTAACACCCGAGAATCTCGAATTATCTATTCACCCTGTCATTCCGCTAATCTGGAAGTTGCCCAAATGAGACCGATATTCCTGCTCTGTCTTTCCAGGGAACCTTGACGCAAGGAACTGTACTGGATTCAAGCTCGGGTCGAGTGTATCAACATGATGTTGGGCAAAGTATCCTCTGCAATACAATACTTAGCGCAAAAGCCAATCATATCAATGGCCTCTTACATCCTCAAGCGGCCGTTCTGATTGACATGACCCGAGAGCGGCTTTAGCTCGCCTGTCAATAACTTGATCCTGCATATCACAGTCAGCTACTAGTTCAACTTCAAGAGTTCTATTGAACGCACAATGTTGACTTTCCGGCGCCGTTCGGGCCCACGATCGCCATCCGGGAGTCGAGCCCCACATCAATATTGACATTCCGCAGAATGATACGATCAGGCGTGTATCCGAATGATACCTCGCTCAGCTGCAGCACCGGCGGCGAGATCTTTTCCGTCTCAGGGAACTTAAAACTCTCCGTCTCCTCTGTTTCTGGAGGGTGCAGTTCTGGCAGCTATGATGGACGCCATGAGATCTCGATGTGAAGTCAGAGGTAGGCGCCATGTAGTTACCTTCTCAAGGATCTTGATCTTTGACTGCGCTTGTGCAGCCCGGTTTGCGTTGTACCGCCACCGGTCGATGAAGGCCTGCAGATGCTTTCGATAATCCAACTGTGTCTCATACTCCTTTCGGAGGTTGCGATCGCGTTCAGATTTTGTAGAGTAGAACTGCGTGAAGTTCCTAAGGCGGAGCGGCTCTCAGTAAAGGGCGTCAGTAGAAACTGTCGGATATACTGACCCCTTGTAGTAATCCAGACGTCCGGAATGCATGTGAACAATATCCGTCGCGACAGCATCACTGCAGGTTGTAAGCGGAGAACTCATTAAATTGCATGTTATGCTTACAGGAACGCACGATCGTGTGATCTGTGATGAGTCGATGTCACCATGAGTCGGGTCGGACAACGCAATGGGCAGATTCAAACTTACACGACCAGCAAGGTGCCTTGCCATGTTTGAAGGTAGTCTTCCAGCCACGCGAGCGCATTGAGATCGACTATATGAAACACGATGAGTAGGCACGATCGCACAGAGTCAGTTAGCGTTCGTACTATGGTTGGAGGGCTCGTCCAGCAATAGCAATGCAGGCTAAAGCACAGCAAGGTCAACACATTGTCATGACACCTCTCGTGAAAACTCACTTTCACGAAGAGCGCTCTTGCCAACGCCAGTCGCATCCTCCAACCACCACTGAATGCCTTCGTTGGCCGCGACTGATCAGCCTCGCTGAAGCCCAACCCTACACATCAACACATCGATGAGCTTTCAGACGCCACGACCATTTCGAAAAGAGCTTGCCTGCAAGCAAAGCCGCAGCTCTCGCCGGCCCGCTCTCAGCCTCCATATCGGCCAGTCGAGCATGAACCTCAGCCAGACGAGCCTGCGCCTCTTCGCGCGCGTCTTCGAACCGTTTGTCATCGCTCTCTGCCTCGAGTGCGGCGAGCTTTGCATTCAAGTCAGCCTCCTCGCGCATCAGGATGTCTCGCCAGACGTCCGCCTTGAGCACGGAGTCAATGGCAGTGGTGTCATCTCCGACAATCTGCGAGCCACCTGAGTCAGACCCACGTTTGAGGGAGCGGTAATGCTGGACGCACCTCCTGCTCGACGAAGAGGATGGTGATATGCGGCGGGACCGGCACTTCACGCATAGCGATGTGACGGAGCAACGTCGACTTTCCAACACCGTTACGGCCAATGAGACCATATCGGCGGCCATAGGCAAGTGTAAGCGAGGCGCCTGAGCTGATGGATTCTCAGAAGGCCAGACAAACAATACATGCATATGACGAACAGGATGCGGTTCGAACCAAAGTTGACATCGACATTGGTGAGGTGGATGTCTTTCGACTTGTTCTTCGATGCAATCGCGTCCAAGGGATTGATCTTCATGAACATCTCCTCGTACGATTGCTTCGAAAGGATGCATCGTTTCAGCACTTACTTTGAAGAGGAATGCTTGAAGGCGATACCTGTTTTCTGTGCTGATCCAGTAACTTGGAGCCCTCATATAAGGTCCTCTTGGAGCGCTTCTCGATCTTGGCCTGAAAACAATCTAAGCAAGGAATTAAAGCCTCACAATTGAAAGATAATACCTTCAGTTTCGCTTCTTGTTTCTCAAGTTTCTTCACATCCACACGCGAAGCTCTTCGGGAAATCGTCATGCACTAAACCAAACGTAATCGTAGATAGCCGACTTACTTGCCCTTGTTGATGCTCTCCAAGTCCACTCCTTCCGTGAACGCAATAGTGCTGCTCATGACCCCATTCTTACTCATGTCCATGACCTTATCCAGCCTCACAAGTCCATTTGTCCTTCCCGCCCTGTTCTTCTCTTCCCTCTTGCTCAATGGCTCAGCTAGCATCCGACCAAGCACGGTCATGACTTTTTCTAGTTGTCCATGTTGGCTCTTTCGCGAGGAAAATGGAATTGCGGACTCGAGAATACTCTGGGTTACATGTAAAACGTCTTCATCTTCAGCAGCATCGTCGAGATCGAGAAGGTAGCCAGAGATGTATTGGACAACAATCTCTTCGGTGCCAGGGAGACTGGTACGAATCTCTTCAGCAATGTCTTCTGATGACACGCTCATGGATATGACAGAACCAGACAGTCGTTGCACGTCTCAAGAGAATGCAAGAAAAGAGCTTTGGATCAACGAGTGCAAGTCAAAAGAGACCGTGAGGCCAACACGATCGATGTTTTCGCGTCAAACGAGCGCCCATAAGTGAGGGGTGGCGTTCTGCCATATCATGCCACACTAAGCCTCAGTCGACTAGCTAGCTAGGCTGCCTTCAATTCTGCGTCCGATTGTGTGTAGCGTGTCGCATACTTGGCCTCCTGGACACTGGTAGAGCTCGACAGATTCTGGTCGATCTCAGTCATGCCGACTTCGGAGACGAAAGAGGTTCCTGTTGAAATGTTCAGGGACCGCGCAACATTCTCTTGTGCACATTGCTCCGCTGTGATAGTCAGTAAAAGATAGATACCCGTCTGTGCACGCCTTAGCTCGCTTTCAGGCATTGCAGGATGAACTGATTAGCAAGTCCTTCTCCGGCCGAGACGGACGAGGCTATCTCATGCATTCGGCGGTGAACGTCAGGATGGGCAAGAAGGAGGACCGATCGCTCCTGTAAGTCCTTCGTTTGCTGGGCATTGATCATCGTCCATAAGCATCACCGCAGAACTGGTGTGCATACCGTCGCGGATCTATTCTGCGTGGGGTGTAACGACCGTGTTGGCTGGTACTACTACAAAGCCTCAGACCATTCTCAGAAATATAAGGAAGGTGAGACATCCAGATAGGGTCATTTCCTACGGGGCACAGCTCATAGACCATAATGACAGGTAAATACCTACTTGAGCGAGAGAGGCTGATCAAAGAGAACAAGTGGACTTTAGATGATTAAGCCATACCACCCCTCCCATAACTTACCACAGCTCTCGGATCATATGTATCATTCCCATTCTATGCAGTGCCATTTCATCGCCCTCTTGCTATTCCTCAAATCATCACCCAGCATCGCTCAATCTGATCCATGATCGCCAAATCCAGAGGTGAAGGGTTGCAGGTATATCCGAATGCAGGCAGCTAACATTCATCAAAGAAACACCCGTATGAGTGGCTGCTGAGGTAGATGAAACAAGCGTTACAGACCAGAGACCAGAACTTGAACAGTCCTCACGCACCCATGGTATTTAATGAGGCCCCATAATCATTGTCGTTAAGCGTATAAACTTTCGTCCTCTTCATCTGTGGGCAGCGGTTGCCTCACATTAGGTCCTCCAACCTCAACCTTCTGCACCAGCCTCCAGGGCACAAGAATTTGCCCAACGAACCGCCCGTTTGGATCCCCATCAACGGCATCAGGACCGATCCGGTATTCTTCAGAATTCACAAGCAGGATATTGAGGTGCTTGTCGGTGCCCACGAAGGTCCCGAGAAAGATGCGACCATCCTGGATGGTCACACGGAGCGTTTTCCGTAGCAGTGCTTTCAGTCTCTGTATGGATCCTGGTGTAGATGGCTTGTCTGGTACAGAGGGCTCAAACGATCCGTCAGGGAGAGGTTGAGACATTGAGACTGAGTGGTCGCGAGTAGAGCACCCGGGACAGTGCTGAAACGCTCGGCCACGCGCCATCTAATCTAATCTACTCGAATCATTCAATTTATAGATTTATTATGGGGACTCCTCGAGTCCTGCGCCGATCCCACAAGCTCGCGTCCACATACAAGCTTTCTCTCCAATTCTCGCGAGAGGATCAAGGTGCATTCTGCATGTCCCGGGCAGTGCGAGGCCTCGGTACTCAGTCGCGACAGCAGACTCGTTCGGTGGGTGGCGGTGGTTGAGAGTAGCCGGCCGATCACAGTGCCTGGACCATCAGTGGCCCATGTTTTGAACCTACACCATCATGACTGCCCTTCCTCCAGCCGAAGCCACGCAAATAAGCAACCTGGAGCCAAACGCCAGCAGCGCCTATAATGTCTGCCTCGCCTTCGAACACGACGCCAAGACGGAAAAAGATGTCGTGCGTGCAAGACTCCTCGGCTACTTAATCCTCCACGCTCCTTCTCTCGACGCGCTCCATGAAGTCGTTGAAGTAATCCACTCATGCAGTGACAACTATGATACCTTGTCCGACCTTGGACAATCCTTCATCAATTACTTCATTCGCCCGTGCAAGTTGTCTACCAGCATTATATGTCGAAACGAGCTAAACTGCACATCCAGTCAAGAAATACAAAGGGCGCACGCCTGACTATTCGGATCATTCCGGTCATCGTTCGCTCATCAAAGACAAGATGGATCTGATGACCGCAATTCAAGAGGCACCGAAGGACCACAAGGAAGCGAAAATTCAAGTGAGTTTGCCGTCTTAAATGGCCGTAAATTCACGTGCTTTCATGGGCATTCATCTAGGCCCTTATCCGAGATGGTTTTAAGTGTGTGGTGACCGGAATATACGATATGGAAGCAGAGGGAATCCGAGGTATTGATCGAGAAGACATACTCCGAGCAGGTTTGGTTTACACAGAATGCACCCACATTGTACCGGAGTCCACTTTTTTCGATGTATCACGCCCGAGCTCGCCCGAGAAGGTAAATCCTTATATTTTTTCTGCTGCTGCTGCTGCGGGGCTTATGCTTGCCTAGAATGATTATTCCGCCTCAGTGTTGGCAGTGTTGAAGCATTTTGGTTATGATGTCGAAAAACTGAATGGTGCCAAGGTGCACTCTCTTGCCAACGTCATGACGATGCAGCACGATGTGCGCGAGTGGTTTGATCGTCTGGAGATCTGTTTTGAGGCGACAGTGAGCGTTACATGTTTATGACTTATGCCTGTCTACTCTAATTGGCCACTTTGACTCCTAGACAGTCGAGAATCGCTATCATATCCAGACTTTCGGCCGGATCCGCCACGTGCCCGCGACGGTAACGTTGATGTCGTCCAACCCTACTACCCTTCCTCTCCCTTCTCCGAAATTGCTAGCCCTGCATGCGGCTTGTGCCAAGGTTGCCCATCTCTCAGGTGCAGGTGTCTATATTGACAAGCTTGACCAAGATCTGGATGATCTGGATGTATTGGCTGATGACGGAGGATCAGCCGACGTCCTGAATCATGCACTGTTGCGTTTGATGACCGACTCTGTCAATGTTGGAGCGTGAAACGGGGGCGAGAGATGTTCTCTTACTTGTCATTGCACATAGACTTCACATCGTCAAGGATTCATATTAATTATATATATATATCACATGATATGAGCCCGTGATTCTGCTGGGATAAATCTGAACAATATGTAGTAATAGTCACTATGATATCCTACTGTTTCCAGCAGAAACAGCTTAAAATGATTTGTATTGATCTCAGCATTATCATTGTGACATAATTACATAAAGATTTAAACAGATGCCAGGTCTCAACAGGTTGAGCCACAGTGATATTCCTACCTACATGGGAGCAGCATCATAACAGCATTTTGCTCCAACATTGACGGAGTCGGTCATCAAACGCGACAGTGCGTGATTCAGGACGTCGGCTGATCCTCCGTCATCAGCCAATACATCCAGATCTTCCAGATCTCCGTCGAGCTCGTCAATATAGGCACCTGCACCTGAGAGATGGGCAACTTTGGCACAAGCCGCATGCAGGGCTAGCAGTTCAGGAGAAGGGAGAGGAAGGGTGGTAGGGTTGGACGACGTCAACGTTACCGCCGCAGGTATGTCGAGGTACTCGTTGAACTCGTCGAACGTCTTGACACGATAGCAATTCTCGACTGTCTAGGAGTCAAAGCGGCCAATTAGAGCAGACAGGCATAAGTCATATACGCGTAACGCTCACTGTCGCCTCAAACCACATCTCCAGACGATCAAACCACTCGCGCACATCTTTCTGCATCGTCATGACGTTGTAAAGAGAGTGCATCTTGGCATCATTCAGTTTTTCGACATCATAGCCAAAACGCTTCAACACCGCCAACAGTGAGGCAGCATAATCCTTCTAGGCAAGCATAAGCCCGGCAGCAGCAACAGCAGGCAAAATATAAGGATGTACCTTCTCGGGCGAGCTCGTGCGTGATACATCGAAAAAAGTGGACTCCGGCACAATGTGGGCGCATTCTGTGTGAATCGCACGTACTCGGCGTATCTCTGCTTTATCAATACTTGGAATTCTCACTGCTTCTATGTCGTATTTTCCGGTCACCACACACTTGAAACCATCTCGGATAAGGGCCTAGATGAGCGTCCATGATGACACGTCAATTTACGATCATTTAAGATGATCAACTCGCTTGGATCTTCGCTTCCTTGTGGTCTTTCGATGCCTCTTGAATTGCGGTCATCAGATCCATCTTGTCTTTGATGAGCGAACGATGACTGGAATATTCCGAATAGTCTGGCGTGCGCCCTTTGTATTTCTTGACTGGATGTGCAGTTTAGCTCGTTTCGACATATAATGCTGGTAGACAGCTTACAGGGGCGGATGAAGACATTGATAAAGCATTCTCCAAGGTCGGACAAGGTATTGTAGTCGTCACTGCACGAGTGGATTACTCTAACGACTTCGTGGAGCGCGTCGAGAGAAGGAGCATGGAGGATTAAGTAGCCGAGGAGTCTTGCACGCACGACATCTTTTTCCGTCTTGGCGTCGTGTTCGAAGGCGAGGCAGACATTATAGGCGCTGAGGGCGTTTGGCTCCAGGTCGCTTATTTGCGTGGCTTCGGCGGCGGGAGGAAGGGCAGTCATGATGGTGTAGTCTCGAGTTGGAGATGCTGTCGCGAGTGATTCCCAACCAAGAACACTAACCTTACCTCCTCAATTGTGGGAATAACAATAAGCAAAATTTCTTCAGACATTAGGGGCAGAGCGCCGCTACCGAACAGGGCTATTTGCGTGCCTTAGGCGGGAGGGAGTGTAGTCATGATGGTGTAGGTTCAAGTTCAACGGGGACGAGTACGGGTCTGAGTCACTGACTCATGTCCTGTCCGACTCCTGGTTCGCGAGCTACACAGCCAAAGTGTCTTGACATCCCGGCACCACAGACATTCATCGGATTGAAGAGAAGGCCGGAAAATTATAAGTAAAGTGTCGGTTGCAGCGTACATTCTAATCCATCCCGTCGTCTGTCCCGCGCAATCCGTCACCATCTACTTTCGCAACTGGCAAAAATGTCGACCTTTGGAACACTTTTCCGTGTGACAACGTTTGGCGAGTCCCACTGTGCATCCGTCGGTGCCATCATCGACGGCTGCCCACCGGTAGGCAACCCACTCCTCACGAAAGCACGCCAGGTCTGAACAACGCTTACACAGGGCCTGCCACTCGTCGCGCAAGACGTGCAGACACAGCTCAGCCGGAGACGACCAGGCCAGAGCAACCTCACCACTCCTGTGCGTGTCACCGGAACTGCTGTCTCGCAGCGAGTTGCTGACCGGTCGTAACAGCGCGATGAAAAGGACCTCGTGCAGCTGCAGTCTGGCATCGAGCACGACATCACGCTCGGCACCCCCATCGGGCTGCTGGTCCGTAACGAGGACCAGCGGCCCCACGATTACTCTGAGGTGCGTTTTGGCTAAGGGACACGTAAGTTGAGATGCTAAGGCGCCTGTAGACGGACCTGTACCCGCGTCCTAGCCATGCGGATTGGACATATCTGGAGAAGTATGGAGTCAAGGCCAGCAGCGGTGGAGGCCGAAGCAGTGCTCGGGAGACGATCGGTACGCCTGTCATCCTCCGCAAACATTCTCTCCTCATTGTAGCACTTTAAGGCCGAGTCGCCGCTGGCGCGATCGCGGAGAAGTATCTCAAGCTCGCATACGGCATTGAGGTCGTCGCCTTCGTGTCGTCTGTCGGAAAGGTGCACCTCCCATCTATAGTCGGCCCACCGTCGCAAGTCCCCAACGACGACGACGACACCGTGGAGGACGTGCTCAGCCCCGAGTTCGTCGCTCTCCTGCATACCGTAACGCGTGCGAAGGTAGATAGTCACCCCACGCGCTGCCCACACCTCGAGACAGCCGAGCACATGACAAAGGTACGTCTACATGCTATTCCCCTTCCCTGTGCGATGCTCATCATACGCTGTAGCGCATCCTCCGTGCAAAGGACGCCTCCGACTCCATCGGCGGTACCATCACCTGCGTAATTCGTGGTGTACCTCCCGGCCTCGGCGAGCCAGTCTTCGACAAGCTCGAGGCGAAACTGGCGCATGCGATGCTCTCCATTCCCGCGACGAAAGGTTTCGAGATCGGCTCCGGTTTCCGCGGGACCCAGGTCCCCGGGAGCAAGCACAACGACGCGTTTGCCGTTAAGCCTGATGGGACGATGGGCACGAAGACTAACTGGAGCGGGGGAATTCAGGGAGGTATCTCGAACGGAGAGGACATCTACTTCAGGTGATTATTTGGTGATAGTGAGATATATTCTCAAGGCTCTAACACGTTGCTGCAGGGTTGCGTTCAAGTCCCCTGCCACGATCTCACAAGCACAGGAGACCGCTCAGTACAACGGTACTCCCGGAACGCTCTCCGCAAGGGGCCGTCACGATCCTTGTGTTGTTCCACGTGCGGTGCCCATCGTCGAGGCTATGGCAAGTCTCGTCATCATGGACCAGGTGCTAATCCAGAACGCACGCAAGACCGCGGCCTCTCTCCTTCCGCCAATTACTACTCTTCCGCCGACCATGATCAAGCCTCCGACACATCATGACCATGCAGTGGAGGACAAGCCAACAGTCTGAGCTCCCTTCATAGCGATGCCGCATGATGTTCAATGGTTGAGAAGTGGTTGATTGTGCTGATATACAACGGAGAGCATAGAGGATTCAACAGCCTGTGCAAAAGCTAGTAGACTAGAACGCCGATTTAAAATATAAATACGGGAACAGTTGTACTACAAACGCCGGTGAAGATGACCTTCAAAGCGACGGTTATGCGACCGGATATAAGTGGGAACTTGCGAGGTATATGTGACGGACCGAACGTTCAGGTCGGGTCATTCGTCATAGTCCGATTCTTCAGAGCAGTATGTACAGCAGACGATCGGCTCGAGATGCCACCACCACCACTGCAGACAAATGTCAGACAGTCGACGGCACGCATAGATTTCGGCGAATTCCTCACATATCGATTGAACAGTCTTTGAGGCCATGCGCCGAACACTGCCTCTTCCTGCCTCCTGAGCGTTTCAGCGCGCAGTAGCTCTTCCTCATACTCTTCATCTTCTCTGAGCCGCGAACTCCCGTCGTATGGGTCGACGTAAGCTGGGTGTCTGCCCGACCTCACGAGAGACGTCCTCTCATCTGCATGCCCATTGCCACCCGGTCTCGGTGCACCTCCTGCACCCGTCCCATTCAGTGTCGGGGACGCTGGTGGCCTCTTGACGTTCGCCAGTGCACTCAGGCGACGCCCAATTGGGCCCCACGTTGCGTTCTCGTCTGCGTGGTATCGTATAGGAGCGGAGATGGAGGAGGACGGCGAGCCCGATCCTGACGAGGACGCGGTGGAGCGCGGCGGCTGGTCGCTCACGCTCTTCCGGTGTCGGTGCACGCCCGAGGTGATGCGCACCCGCGAACGAAATCGTACGCGAGGTGTGGGGCGGGCCGGCGGGGGCGGTTCAGACGAGCTGCGTTCGGTGTCTTTACTCGGATCCTGGTGCGGCAGCGAGTCCACAAGGTCGTTCGAGACGATGATCACGGAGGAGGGAGTTTGTGAGCGGGGCGAGGGGTCGTCATCGATGAGGTGAAGAGCGTTGCCTGGGACGATGCACGGCTTGGGCGAATGGTCCTCCACGGAGAGCTTGTGGTCGTACATTACGTCGATGGGCTCGTTCGGGAGCTCGATAGTCATACTGCGAGGCATTATTTTGACCGTCGGTGGTGGTCCGTCTTCGACTCCGTCCTGGCTTTGAGGTCGATATGCAGCGCCGTTCGTGTCGTGAGCGTCGCCTGTGTCCGAGTGCGGACTGGATGGCCGCTCATGTTGCGCATGGACATCGCCAGGCACCTCTACTGAACGTGGGTATAGAAGTCGAAGTTGGCCCGGGGAAGGTAAGAACAGATCAGAGCTTGAAAGGCTGATTTGGGCACACCTGATTTCACCAATTGCGGGGTCGAGCCGAATGCACGGCCATGTGCTTGATGGTGCATGCCTGCGACTGCAGCAGCGAATGCCGGCGTCCTGGCCATCGTCAATCCAGAGCGTGCTACTGTATTCGTTCAACAGGCGGATAAAGACATATCACTGTTCGCAGCCGGATAAGAAAGAGGGTTGACATTCAGATGAAGAAGTCAGGTGGCCAGTCTCGCCTGGCCTCCATCATGAATTTGCTACTGAAGCGTCAATATTTCAATTGCAAGCCTATCATTCGAGTCCGGACGTAGAGTCGCTACCGCTATAGTTCTATATATACAAACGTGTAATTTGACACTTTGCGAAGGTGAGATTGTGACGGAGTCCTTGAAACGGCAAAAACGTTCGCCGTCAGCCAGGGAATTGACCTGCCGATAAACACCGAACACCTGGAGGCTGACAGACCACCACGGCTCGCTCTAGTCCCGAGCCTCCACCTCCATAATCTCCAAGATCGCTCGACGAACGCAGACAGCATCGAACTGCGGCATCCCAGTCTTCTCATCCAGACATCCCTCCACCTCAATCGGCTTGACACCAAGAGCCTAGCAGATACCTCCCATTCAGTAGACGTCTGGTACCCTTATGGTTGTGCTTACCATAACTTCCTCGAGATCCACGTCGATCGGCGTCCCGTTCAGGTATAGCATATGCGTGATGTACGCAGATATTGGACAGGTGGTATCAGATGTACGGAGGCCGCCATACGCGGAATGATACGGCGTGTTCAGTGTCCGCGCAATCGTCCTGATCGGTTGGTCAGCGTCAACGCTTTCGTCGCTTGTGGCTAACTGACTTGATATAATCTGTCGCTGTATACCCACTCGTCTCCCGATCGTTTCGAGAATTCACTATAAAGGGGTCAGCGCTTTGGATTCATGTGCGGGATATATATACGTACGCAATAGGACTTTCGCACGAAGGGAGCGCGAACATGCAATGGCATTCGCGACGCCCTTCAAGGCTAAGCAAGGTATGACACTGATCAGACATTTGTCAGAAGTCGATCCTAGTTTACTGTCGTATTGACAATCCACCGCCCACCTCGTCCATAACGATCCACAGGAATACACAAGTACGTTGTTCAACGACAGATTCGCGATATAGTCCGGGTTTGGCGAAGGATGGATTTCGCTCCCGTACGCATTGATATAGTATAGCCCTGCCTAGCATTCAGTAAACCACTAGCTATCACCACCTGAACAGGCTCACTCGAGATCCTGGCATCAAGGGGCTCGTAATGTTCCTTCGCGTCCGCCTGGAACATGACGTTCCTCTGAGGCGATATCACACCATCCAGTGCATCCACAGGCGATGGCGGCGCAACGTCATACTGGGACTCGAAGACATAGTCTGCCTCGTACGTCGTGACGCCGATCCCTGGCGCAGTACCCGTGGATGACGGGACCGGGTGAGATATATCGCACTGGCCCACGAGCCGTCCGCCATTGTCCTAAAGACCGGCAGAATCGCAACATAAGGGGAAGAAGAGGCGCATGTCATGTCAGTGTTGCATGCACTGCAAGAGACAGAGCTCTGACTAGTTCTGCGGCGATCGTAACGGTGTGGTTCGTTACGATTACCGGGAGTATGTTAGCCTATGCTCCTCATAAGCGAACCTGTGTAGCTTGCTTGATGGACGTAACGACGTACCTGGCTATTTGTGATGGAGGAGAATAGGAAGATAGCTGAGGGAAGAGAGCGGAAGAATGTCTGCGCGGCAGAGAGGAAGTAATTGCCTATGCTACTTAGATAGTGATCAGCCCGCCCTCGGAGCTTGATCAATGATGATGTTCACCTTCCATTGACGAAAGAAAAGTTTTTATGGGCTCGTTTGAGAACCTCGCTTTCGAAATGTACAAGGAATCCTGCATTGCAGGGCATGTCTTGAGCGACTCGCTCATCGACGTTCCCTACCAGGCAGACTCGCCTCTGATCATCTCCTTTCTGTCGTTCGGTATGCCTTGCCAGAGATGGCTTCTCCCTTCGACAATGTCTCGCCACTCATCGCGAGCTTCTCGTTCTGAGCTATGCGCGGGCAATCGGTATGCCAGGAGGTTGCGGATGCGATCCAGGGGAGAGTTCGTTGGTGCTGAGGGGATCAACCTGACTAACCGCGAACGGATATCGCCTGTCCACGCATGCTATTTCGCATCTTTGCATTGCTAACCGTGGTGCATCGGAAACCGCTCACCAATCGAAGGCCCACCGAGCACGCGAATGATCTCACTGGACGAGCCTCCGTCGTCCGACACGGGCAGCACGTAGCACGCGTTGCCAAACGCAGAACATATTGAGTTGCATCCTGTCCCGCCTGAGATGACGAGAAATGACGGCCCGGCCGGCGATTGGCACTCTCCTTTCAGTCGGCAGGCCGTGCTGTCAGTCGACTTGACCGCATCGCCGTGTATGGTCTGCTGGCTCGGTGTCGCCCACTCCGCGTTGCGCTCTGGCTGCGTCGGGAGGTCGAACACCGAGGATCCTGGGCTGTCTGCGCTTGTGTTGCAGATGTCGGGTACGAGATTAAAGTATGACATTGACCAGTGTTGCTGAACGTGACGGTGGCGAGGAAGCAGTATGGGTAGGGCGCCTAACGTCCCAGCTTCTGCCCTGCTGGTCTACCTTGAACACTGCTTTGAACTACTGAACGTCGTCGTCTTGTCGAGATGGAGGACTTTCTTGCTCTGCCTGGTTTCTACAAGTTGATGTACTTGCATATCGAGCCCGGTACGCCGTAATCTGGGAACGACGCTCTGGGTTACCCATTCATTGGCATGGACATTCAGCCTCGACGATCCTGCCCTCCATCCTGGCCTGGTTCTTCCCTGGCGCGGCATGGTTCCACCACGAGCTCATACCTGACTCTTCGCCAACGCCGTCCGCTGGGTCTCTCGACCCGCGCACGTTGATAGCCATCTGGCAGCTTGGAAACTGTGCGTCGCCCCCAGCAAATACATCTGCTACGATAGCGGGAATTGATTGTTGGCAGGCTATCTGCTACTAGGATTGATCTCCACGCTTGTCTTTCGAGCTGTCCGAGACGCGTTGCCCAACAACCCGGCGGCTCAAGAACGTATCCTCGGTGCGAGTTTCACAGCTCTCGCTCTTGCCGATGTATGTCGTTATTAAATAATCACGCTGTATCCGAGAGGTTTGATCGTTGATTCGCAGGTTACTCAGTGCGTATACGCTTTACGCCTCTGTATATCGTTAATCGGTGGCATAGCATGATCTGGTCGTGGGTCGCCCTTCCTGAGGAGCTGCGGTATAGTCCTGCCAGGTGGAACTCGATGACTCACGGAAACATCACGTTCGTGATTGTTCTTTTGAGTGGAAGGTGCGACGCCTTGAATGTCTCACCGTGGTCGAATCCATCGCTGATACCATTCTCAAGGCTAGCATGGTTTATGGGAATAGGACGCAAGAGGTACTACTACGGGCAAAAGGCCCCAGCCAAAACAGCCTGATATGTCTCCTCTACGACGACAATTGTATGATCTGTGGTGATCTGTGCCTTGCTCTAGGGTATATTCGTGCCCAACTTCATGATCAGTGATCAGTGATTTGCGACCATGCTGCCCCGTGAGAGAATACCGCCGCTTCGAGGCCGGAACATGAGGCTACCGATGCTTCGTGAGAGCATCCCCACGGTTGCGTCATGCGGTAACTCCAAGACAATCAGGGTCGCCCAATTGTCCGCTCATCCAGGCTCTCCCCTGCTCTCCCTCGCCCTCGCGCTTCTCATGGGAATCGGTCTAACCAGGCCTAGCCTATACAGGACTCCCCGTTTGGACACGTCCCAAAAAGAGAATGTGGCCCCGCAATAGAAGAATGCTAAGCCTCTTCGAGCAGTCACATTTTAGGAGAACTCGTCCGCATCGAAGAAGATAGGCCGAAAGTGGAAAGTTGCCCGTAAAGAGTAAATATGGCGGGAACAGGGAAGGCGTCGCCCAGAGCCGTCGACCCCGTTGGCGACGTCAACGAAGGGAAAATTGTCCATGGTGGGTTAGAAGGAATTGACAACATATACGCAGCATATTCCTGATTGCCGGCGATGTCAGGCATCCCGAGCTGGATGCCCACAGTACGTATCTGCTTACGATCTGGTGTGTCGTAGCGTCACTGACAGCTGCTTGGCGATCTGCAGCTGCAGTCTTCCATCATAGCCCAGTGGCAGAGCGATTCCGTCGGCCTCTTGAATCTATCCCACGTCGAGGTCGCCGAGGCCAATACGGCCCTTCAGGCCTTCAGGGTCCATCAGCAGAAGAGATCAGGGCATGGGCTGCTCGGCGAGAGCAGTTCCTGAGCACTGCGTTCCGCTTTTGCGCGGTCTCCAAGCACGTGAGTTCCAGTGGTCGCCGTCCCCTCGGCCTTCTGCTCTCACGCAGTCATCTCAGGACTCCGGGGGTGCAGCTTGCCCGGCATGCGTGGAGTACACCGAGGCTTGCAATGCACTGCTCAGGGTCACTCACGGTCTGAGAAACATGTATCTTGGCATGAACTGGGTCGTTCGGCTGCCTAAGCTGCGCCCCCAAGAAACGGCTCGACGCGATTCGTACAGCCCTGGAGCTCAACCTTGCTAAGATATTTCACCTCTCTCTGATGATCGACAACAGTCTGGTGGAGATTAAAGGCTGCCTGCGAGGTGCCCAGCAGGACATGCTCCATCTGATCAACATCCGAAAAGACTATGATGAAGCGAAAGTGCGGCAGGAGGTCGTTCAGGCGTTGTTGGATCATATTGGGGAGGAGCGTCAGATACTGTACGAGGAAGCCGACATTTGATCGGCTGCGAGTAAATAATCAGAGCTCTAAGTGAACGAGGATGCATTGGTTCATGTTCATTATTCAGACTCTTTGCGTGGCTCACGCGAGGAAAGCATAATGGCCATCAACATTTGCTTTCGCTCGCTGTAAGTTTGCCCTGCCGTCTTCGTCGAAGGCTCATGATGCTCGTCTGCAACGTGATTTAGCCCGCAGAGATGACTTCGCTCCTGCAGCAATGTCAACTGCCCAAACGTCACATTTGTTACATTGTACATATGTCCATGCCAGCCCTAGCAGATACCGCGGGCTATGCACCAACGCAAACGACAGAAAAGTCCAAACCGGTAATATACTATATTTCTCAATGAACGTAAGCTGGGTCGCACCAAAAAGCAAACCAAATCGAATGAATAAATAATCAGCCCAATCAGTCACTTACGCCCTCACCACCCGCCCCGCCCATCGTCCTCGAAACCAGCCTGCTACTGAAGGCTATTAGCACTCGAACTCGCCATCCCCGCCCCCTCATTCTGCTCCTGCATCGACGCGAGGGTATGCCGCACATACCCCGCCTTCTCCGGGCGCGTCCGCACCGCCGCGCCCACCGCCGCGCCCACCTCCTCGCGCGCGCTCTCCGACGCCTCATACGACGGCGGCGCGACGTCCTCCTGCGTCCCCAGCAGCGGCTCCGACAGGCCCGGCGAGCCCGGCGCGCTGCCCACCTGCACATACGAGAACTCTGAGCGCATCGGCGAGGCCTGCGGCGCGCCGAGCGTGTACGGCTCGACGGCGTTGGCCGCCTTGTGCTCCTCGACGATCGTCTCGGCGTTGCGGACGATCGCGCGGTCCTTCCGGCTGCGGATGTAGAGGAACGCGGCGATGGCGATGAGCAGCACTCCTGCGACGCCGCCGATCGTCCCGCCGACGATCGCGCCGATGTTAGCGCCCTTCTTGACGGAGATCTTGGGTGCGAAGCCGACCATGTCGGTGCCGTTGCGGCCTACACTGAAAATTCTGCACGTATGGTTCGTTAGGATGGCCGTGTAGATGAAAGTGCGCGACGCGAACGTACATGTAGACCTGGCTGACGAAGCGCGCGCCGAGGAGGTATTCCTCGACGGAAGGGTCTGTCCAACCCTCAATGCCGCTGACGCACGATCCGTCGCTCAACTCAGATATGAGCACACTCTGGTCGAGCGTGAATGTCTGGTCGTTGATCACAAAGGATACGGTGAACTTGGCATCACAAGGAACGGTCCATTCCTCTGCCTGCGACCCAAGGCTGGAGAGGTTAGACGAGACAGACGAGTCGGAGATAAGGTCGTCTGACAAATGCTATGAGTCAATGATCACATTGCACGACAAAGACGCAAACTCACTGATCAATCTCGCCTGTTCCGCTGGAAAGTAGATGTCCGTGTAGTATGGATCGACAGTGGCAGAAAACTCCACATCATACGAAGCTCCGCCGTTGTCGCTCGTCGCTTTCCAGCTATCCAGGGTCACGGTCCAGTCTGGCTCACTGTCGCTCGACGCATATACCACGGTCGAGTTCGTAGTGACAGTCTTGTACGTCAGCTGATCCGCGTTATATGCGCTCGTATCAGGCGCGAGCCAGTGGAGCGTCCCGGCACTGCTCGATGTCGCTGTCGCGGATGCCGCCATGCTGGCAGACGAGACGGACGTGGGCTTCAGCACCGGACTCGAGATGTCCATGCCGAACTGGAAGCTATCTACATCGGGGTGCTCGTCGAGCCACTGGCTATAGATCGAGTCGGAGAAGTTTGGCGTGAAGGAGCTCGAGTTGGATTCGGAACTCGTCGAGAAGCGGTTGGTCCCTAGCCCGATGACGCCGGACACGCCATTGCCGACGATGGTGCCGTTGTCTTGATTTTCCGCGACGACGACTGGAGGGATGATAGTGAGCGGCTGTATCAAGGCGCCTCGAGAACGAACCCACTGGTTTGGTTGTTGTATATCCAGCTCGAAGTTGCGGCAGTCAAGCTACAATTTTCCTTGATCAACGAGCCGCTCAAGGTAGAAGCAGCGAACGATAAGCTGTCCGAGATATCGAGTGACTTCGCAGTGTCCGACGCCGACTCGTTATACCTGTACAACCAGCATGAGCTTCCAAGTGATGTCATCTTCCGCTGAATTACGTACAGTTTCACTCCACCACATGAGCTGCAGCCCGTTCCTGCGACAGCGGTGAGGCCCGCGCTCGTCGACAGCGTGAAATTGAAGTGCTGCTCGTCGGCACCGGGAGACTGGCCGCGTTGACGTATCATCAGGCAAATTCACGGTGAAAGCGACAGGATCCGTCAGTCAATGAATGAATCAATGCGCAATGAGATACGTACCATTCCGACACCGAGGACGTATCTCCCGTACTCGTCAAAAAGAAGCGGGATGGGGATCATGTTCACCGTTGAGCTGGATGACGCGGCCCGCTTTTGGAGTGCGAACGGACCGGCTCGCGCGAGATGTGCAAGACATAGCGCGGCACACAGAGCTCCTTTGCTCGAGAACATCGTGGTGGTCGCGATTCAAGATAAGAAGGTAATGTATTACTCTGGATGAAGTGTCTAACCAAGGTTAGCACCTCGACGTCACCTGTCCGAACAAGATCAATACACATACCGTGACAGTACTATGAAATGGAATGGGAAAACGTAGGGAGAGAAAGAGACCTCGAGGGTTGGAAGAGAGGCAGATTGGCTGTTAACGAGACTGGCGATGCCCTCGCCTCGCTCACAGGCACAAGGAGGGGCGGAGGGGTGAGCGGCGGACCCATTTGCTCCTGTTTCAGGCATGATAGTACCCAGCGAGCTGCCCACTGCCCTCTTCCCATCAGCGCCCATCCATAAAGACGCGCTCCGAAGCGGGAAGGCCCCGGGACACCTCGTGCTATCATCACGCCCACGTGACCGCGCCTCAGCTTTCAGCTTTTCATCTGACTGGAGTCACTGGACGGTCAATAAACGGCTGCTGAGTCCAGCTCTGGTCTCAGTCAATGGTCTCTTCTTCTGCACACGACTGAGTCCTCCCTAGCGTGTTAGAATGCTCGACTGTAACTCTGGCGAGGATGGAGTTCCAACTTCAATGCCCGCGACCGAAATCTTGGCATACCTCGCCGATTACGCCGGAACGTCGAGCTCAATCCTCCTATTGGAATTTGTGTCCGTCACGGCAGGATTTCGTGCCGTATCGCAATGGTATGCTCACTTCCTGCTCTCGGCTAGAACTCCACCTGTAAACGGTGAGTTCTATGCAGACCGCATCAGTCAGAGTCGACTCCAGAGCGCATCTTGTTAGCTCTGCGTGAAAGCGTGAGGCGCCAACGCCTCACGGAGGTGAAACGTTTTGTCGAGGCTAGCGAGATGAAGGCGCAGGACCCCGGACGTTCACGAGGACCAATGATCTTGTGCACATCGAGGAACAAGAGCGCTCAAACACTGGAGACATGGAGGCATTTGTCACCATGTAATTTGTGTGACAAATGTGAACTGGTATTTTACCTTTGTGAAAAGGATCTGGTGCAATTACAATTACCGTTACATGTCGACGTCACGATATCTCTCTCCGTTTACATCTCTCATGTCATGTCTTGAACAACAATCCTGTCATCATTACTACCCATCCTCGCTTGTTTTCTTTACCTCCAGTACCATCCTGCTTGATAGTACCCTGCATACATCCAGTTCTCAACCAGTCACGCATTCAGTCTCTTTTGCACCACAGCTTCCTGTAGCCTCCCTCATTAATCAAATACCTTCCATGTGCTTTGATGATTGTGGAATGTGCCTGCCACTATGTAACTACATGTGCTTAGCCTTGAAGCGAACAGCGCGCGGAATCATGGTTCCTTTCAGCGAGATGCCGCCGGCTGAACAGCATGCAATATTGTGTCTTACTGTACAATGCGAGCAAGGATGTTAACTGCAGTGAATCTCCAGAACAACTCTTTGCACGTAGGCTAGGCTCTCGCCCACTGGCTCGCAAAGTTCGATACGCCAACAGGTAATGCGGCCTAAAAGCATTATTAGAAGACATTAACCCGCCGAGAAAATATGCTAGGACTTTCTCATCGTAGTCCACCCATTCTTCTTCTTCAAGATCGACCTCATCGAAAACGGTACCGGACTCCACGCCAACACATTTCCAGATACCTGTTGAAGATTATGAGTTCGACGAGAGTTACTACAACGTTCATGATCCACCCTTGGGTCAAATCCCACGAACTCTAGGCCTCGGCAGTCAATAGTTAAGAATTGCGCGAATTGATATTGACCATTGGCATCTGCGGAGTACGGCAGAGGTGCCGATCCTGGGTCGGACTTTGCAAAGGACTCGCGCTTGCAGAGCCCACAGCGCCACACAAAGTGGGCTGTGTTTCCTCTCCCAGATGAGACTTCGCGCTCTTCCTATGGGCAAGAATCAGCAGATCATGCATGGAACATCGGTGTTCACGGCGTACCAGACGATTGACGGAGACAAATCTTGGATGCACTTCATTACAGCTCGTACATTTCACCTGACACAGGATCAGCTTTCGATGGTTGGCTATCACGATATTTGAATTGATCTACTTGGAAGAAATATTCGAACGAATCTGTTGACTTTCCCGGCCAGCCCGCTGCGCGGCCAGGAATTCGGGAGTCGCCCGCTCTCTAGAAGATGGCTCCACGGGGCCAAACCGATGGCCATTGTAGCCGCGCCCTATTATATACACGCGCGCTACTACTCTCCCACGCCGGTGGCGCAGGTCGCACCGGGGCCTCTCACATCTGCGCTCCGCACCCAGATTCCAACAGAATCTGCTGCTGGAACAAGGTCGGTGACATTCTCGAGATCGGCTTTGATGGAGAGTAAGAGTCGCTAGCTTGCCAACATTTCAAGATTCAGCTGCTGTGTCAATACTCATTGACTTACAACCATGTTGTACAATCTACTGGCAAGCTTGAAGAGATCAAGAAACTCAACATTTGTTGTCTGTTATTTACGCGCTGCCATTCCTGTTCATTCGCTTTTGTGCCACTCGTCCCTGTGGCTTGTGCCACTCGTCCCTGTGGCTTGTGCCACTCGTCCCTGTGGCTTGTGCC